TTTATGTTGAATATTCTTGCAAAGAAATCAAAAATACAACATACAGACAACAGCAAAGACATAAAGACATATAAGGGACTGCGCAATATCTATCAGGAAGGGGCGTTGAGAATCCTGAGGGAGGGGGGCACAATCTAATTTTATGTGCTTAAATAGGGGTGGCAGCGTCTAACATTTACTATAGAACTTTAATTGTAAGCTGAAACAGCAGCGGTGTCAGATACTTATTGAAGTGGAAATCTTCTCAAGAAAAGCGTGCCACGATTTGCGACAACTCTTTATTAACGAAACGGGAAAGGGGGGAGGGGCAGAGCTCAATTTATGTTGAAAGACACGAGAGAAGCAATCTTAGAAACACGAATGTATAGATTGTTTGGGAAATTTTAAAAGAACCTACTCCATAATTCAGGCTGAAATAGTTCGTATATGAAGGGTTTTAAAAAATGGAAACTTAAGCCCGATAAGTTCTTAAATATTAGGTTCTTATGCGCGGGGTTTTAATGCATTTCGGAGCATGGAACTCGAGAACTGWACWACAATTACACGTTTCAGTACCCTTATGAGTTTCTGATATATGTGATTGACGGAATGTATAAATCAGTACGGAGGTTTGGAGTATAATAATGCTTGACTTGTTTTCCAGGTTGAGGCGATACAAGCACAGAAGACATAACATAGGATTCACCCTGGTGGCTTTGAGTGAAAAACCAGTCGTCATCTAGGGAATGCTCTCATAAACTTTGAAAAGAACAATTTTACCACGTTATTGAATTATAGTTTTCCTACTTTGTGTCTAATAAATGTTTTAAAATGCTAAAATGCGGATATCGATGTTGAATGCTCATTTTCCCTTGTGATGTGGGTGTCTTTTCACTGTGGGATTGGACGAAGTGCCAACATGAAAGTCGTATAGACCCTCGGCGAAAATGGTCGCTGCTTAGTCGCATACATTTTCTTTCCAACCCTGAGATACTGTCAGATTAGAGTCAGTAAAACGTACGTAAAAGCTCTGCAAACGTTCACTGGTAAGAGAGTTAGATATTTTATATATTTAAAGACTGAGTGGTAGAAGAATCTGGAAGAACTAGATTAAATGTAGAAAAGTAAAGGAGGAAAGAGTGAAATGCTTTTAAAAAACAGCAAAATTAAAAGGAGCTGGATAGATACTGTTTATGTCCCTACTCATGCTTGTATGAGAATAGGGTTAAACTCGTATTGTCTACAGAGATAGTGGGAGGGAGAATAAGACATGAGAATAGAGGCTGATGAAGTGGATGGGTGAGTGATCTCCCCTGCGTTCTACAACTATCACGAGCTTAACATAGTAGAGGGGACTGGGTCCACTCTATTAATTATGACCTGAGTAACTCCAAGGAGTTAAGGAAAGATGATATTCTGTCTGTTGAAAATATCTTTTCTAGTGYGCATGAGTCGGGACAGGAATGGAAGACAAGCATCCCATCCCATATTTATTTAAGAAATGGTTCATAGGTAGCGTGCATCCATCCTGTTATGGATGCACGCGGGAGGTTGCTAATCACGATAAAAAGCGTAATGAGTGGCACGACGCGAAGCGGAGTGCTACTCTAGCTTTTTTGAGTGCTTAGTCAAACTCCCAAGTGCATCCATAACAGGATGGATGCACRCTACCTATGAACCATTTCTTTTTTTCACTTGTGATGGCGTGAGCGTGCTCCATCCATTTTTTGTTCATAGATGAAGGACCAATGAGATTGCTTGTTATATAGTATCATCTATGTTATAATTCCTGGTTTTATAGTAGAGAAATAATAAGAAGGTCGTCCCATACAGCCTAGTCTCTCCCCAGGCGTCTCTCCAGTTTTTCCCATTTTGGCTATACCTGTTTTCTGAGGCCCTGGTTCGGTCAAGAGAATACCAGAGGCATTCCAGAAAGGCCATGAAGGGTTGACTGCGGAGAAGGCTATATTTAGCCCCAAAACACCTCTCTCCGAAGCAAGAGAGAATTACGTATACGCTGCGCCTCAGAATGGAACTAATTTAAAGAACTT